AAACACCACTGGGCACGACAAAGGCCACCATGCCTTACGGCGGCCCATGAAGAGGAATGAGTACACAGAGAACAGGGGGCACAGGACTGCAAGAACAAAGTTGGCTTTTAAACTGGCTTCTGAGGAGAGTGTAGAAAAGGCCAAACAGCAGCAGAGGAAATGTGGCAATGACCCCACCACCAGCACCCTGTTACTGAAATCTAGGAAGGTTCAATATGAGGGAACGGACTCAAAATGAGTGGTGCTCCAACAATCCCAATTCATCAGTGGGCGGGGGGCAGCACGATGGTTCCCAGTGTCCTCTTCAGACCAGACTGAGCTCCCAGCCGCCACGTTCTAATATGAATGCTGGATAACTACCCTGTCTTCTCACTTGAGCAGAGCTCATGCCATGAGACTGCAGATTGTATAAAAAGATGTTTCCTTGGTTTGAATGGTGTTGAAAATGGATTCAGCAATGAATCATGGAACACTACATCAAAAACTAATGACGTAATGTATGGTGATTAACATAATAAAATTAAAAAAAGAGAAAGAAAATGGATTCGGAATTTAACCATTGGGGCAAGCCACTGGTAAGTTGTCTAGCACAAGGTGAAGGATTAAAGGCATGTGTCGCGGTCCTGTGGAAGGGTAGGGATGCAGATTAGAAAATCCAGACGGGAGCCACTAACACAAGGAGAACTACAAGTACATAAGTAAGGAGAGAAGCTCAGCACGGGGAGCCCGTAAGGACCCATTGTTCACCAGTGTCCAGGCTTGAAACATTGGCGGTTCAGAGGAGAAAATGCTGAATCTACCAAAACACAAACATAGCATAGGAGCAGAGTTAGTGCCCACCCAAGAGAATGGGCATCAGCTTTTGAATACAGCACGTTTTCATAGAAGTCTTTGTTTTACAACATCTGCTCCCCTTTACTAAAGGGCAGTTTTGAGACCAATGTTATCTTTTTGGCTATTGGTAAATCTCTCCTGGGAAATGTCCCTCATAGTCTTTTCTTAGTTCCCCATCCAGCAAAGGGAAAGAAAAATATTTAAGGCCATAAAGTACATCAGACAAACCCTGCTAATAATGAACTCTAAAAACTGTTCAAATTCTTCGCCTATCCTGGAATTTTATTGAAATTAATTTGACCTTGATCCTTTGATCTCCAGGGATCTTGGTGTTCTGTTCAGCAACATAAAGGGAAGGTCACTAGATGAACTCCAAGAGCCCTTGAGGGGACAGCATTCTGAATTTCTTTGAAATTTGTGAATATTACTTGAGAAAAGGCAGCTACTTGAGGTTTAAACACTCTGTGTGGTCTTTGAAGCCAAGACACTGTCTTTAGTTTCTCTTGTAAAATGCAGCGTCTTATATATTGTTCAACACTCAGTAGGTTCCAGAATGTATAACTGTTGCCTGGACACTAGAGAAAATCAATTATAATGACCTTCTTTCTAATAGGTCTGAGTTATGGTACTCTCTAGGCCTACTTGCATCATATTGTAATACTATAAGTATTTTAGATACAATATAATGCACTGTGGATCTGCCCAAGTGTTTAAGCTCCAGGACAGAAAATACACCATTAAAATATACTTTTATAGTGGGAACTGTAATTTTTCCACATGCAAAACCACACAAAAAGGTAGTCAAATAAACATTATGGAATTTTACAGAACAGCTTAATAAATTCTAAAATAATCTTTATTTTTGTGTGTTTCCTGGTATAAAATAGGCCCAGCTTGTTTGAATTTCCTACATAATAAGCCCTGCCTTTGTCATTGACTTCTTCTTGTGTCATTCTCTGTAGATATCTATGTTAAAGTGAATTGATTCACAATATGCGTTAGATATTCACTGCATGTGTTTAAGAGTTAAATTTTTCAAACATAGTTTAGTTTATTAAAAATCTTAAACCAAGGGGGAGCCTGGGTGGCACAGTCGGTTGAGTGTCTAACTTGTGGTTCTGGCTCAGGTCATGATCTCAAGGTCATGAGAAGGAGCCCCTGTTGGGTTCTGAGCTCAGGGCAGAGTCTGCTTGAGATTCTCTCTACCTCTCCCTCTGCTCCTCCCTCTCGTGCTCTCTGTCTCTAAAATAAATACATAAATCTTTAAATATACATATATATGTATAATAAAAATTTCAAAGCTAAAAAAATTTAAAATATAAAATAGATTTCATAATCAAGAACACCCAAGTCAAAATCGTAGCAAAAATAAATAGATAAAAGATATGTCCAGAAATCTGTGTTAGTTTTTAAAATGCACCTACTCTATTAAATATAGGGAAGGAAGAGGTGGCTCATGGAACGTTCTAAGAGAAGCAGCTTTCTATGGCAATAAAGCTAAACTCAGGTTTAAGCAGAATATGGTGAACATTTTAGAAGGGAAGATAAGCATAATTCAGGAAATGTGACTCAAAGTAGGGGTTCACTAGATCGATTCTCAAGGTTCACCAGTCCTCAATAAAATTCCTCTTTAAACTTTGTGCTTTCACTTAAGTAATCACCTACAATATTAATGTGAACTACGCATATTGGAGCCTCTGGAGAGCCATTTTATAGCACCACTTTGCCAGGGGTTTTAGTTCTGCCTTTGTATTTGAGCTTAGAACTAAGTTAGCTCCAGAAACATTGCGTTTATAGTCAGAAGCTAAAGAGAAAATGACAGAGGGAGACTTAATATACAAAGAGTTTGTTCACATCCAGTGGAGACCAGCTGGCATTACATTCTCCAGAAGAAAGAAGGTTTTCCTGTTATTCAACCAGAGGAAATTGGTAGTCTTAAACTGAGCATATAAGACCAACCCAAAATGATTTGTGCCATAGCAGTCAGTACCACATTTATATGGCTGTTTTGTTTTAGCCAAACCAACTCGTTCATCATATTAAATTAATGATGTTAATTGAAATAGTGCTATTTTTCTAGGACTTTGCTATTTAATTTTAAATGTGTTTTGGTTTTATAGCTTAGTATAAGAATTACAAGTTTATAAAAGCTCTGCCACGTGTTCTGCTTGTATATATTTAAATAGCATAGTAATAAAAGTAGTTTAAATCGATGCTGGAGTTTATTAGAATGTTGTTTCCCCCTTTATGTTAAAACTCAATTCAACCATGAGAAAACACAAAACAATATAATAAGTAGTTTCTACCCTGAAGTTACTTATAGTCTTTGAACTAGATCTCATGGTCTTCTACATTGCTTCTTCAAAAAGCTAACTTCAATTGGATGGGCTAGATCAACCTATTAATGATAAACCCTTAATTTGCTCAGTGGAGTTAGATAGATCTTGGTACAAACCTACCTGCTTCTTTCCTAAATGTGTGAGCTTGGGTAAGTTACTTTGTTTCTTCTCTCCACTTTAACATCCTCATATGTGAACTAAAAATTCACATATTGTTTTGACAATTAAATATTCGTAATAGGTTGCCCTCTTTGAACAAGTTATAGGGATCAGCCCCTTTAATTACATAATCTTATTTAATCCCTCCCAAATTATCATTCCCATTTTACAGAAGAAGAAACAGGCTAACAGATGTTAAATCAGTTGACCAAGGGATTACATGGCTAGTGCATAGTTGAGCTTTCCAGGATCTGAATTTAGACTGGACTGATAAATCCCAAATTCTTCCCCACTATGTTTTTTGGCCTAAAATGACTTAAAGTGCTTACCATAGGTCTGGAGCTTAGTAGACACTCAGTAAATATTATTTCCTCTCTTAAAGAAAATGATTCACATTCCTCCTGTTTCTATATTTCTTTTCATCTGAGCTACCAAAAACTTAAGATCACCCTCTAGTGATAAGTCACTCCAACTGCAAACTTTTGATCCCTGAAGTTTAAGAGTGAAAGAATATAAGTATGAAGGAATTCATGCTAGGCCATGTAAATATGAAGGTATGAGAAAAGGTGCTATATTATGATTTATCATTATTTTGGGTAGCATATACCTAATTGCTGGCCTCTTAGACTGTTCTCCTTATTTTTTCCCAATAAACAAATGCCCACAATTTCTTTAATTGTAAAATAACCTCTGAGTTTTATTAACTGGAATTATATTTACCAAAGTATGATCAGAACAAAACAGTTTCCCCAAAATACATATTAACAGACCATTGGGATCATTAGAACTCATTGTTGATGATACAAAAGAACTCAAGCAAACTTCTTTCCGTGGTTTAATTCAATACCCTCTGTGTTGAGGTTTTGGTTACAAAGCTCAGAATGACAAAGTCCTTAGGTATGTGAGGTATACTAGCCAATTCAATAAGCCTTCATAAAACCTTTATTTTAGGCTATAAGGACAAATTATATTAATTACTGCTATAAGCTAAGCAGGATTTATAAGGCAAATTTCAGATCCAAAAACAAAAGGTAGCCATTATAACAGACAGAAATGTCATCTTGTAGAAACTCAGCAATTCTCACAAATGATTTTGTTTTATTGAGAGAAGCTATACTGATCAGGACAGAATAATATCTTTTTTCTTTCCCAAAAGAGAATTAATAATGAGATTCTATGAGTTTAGCCAGTAGGACTTTCTTTTACTATAACAACTAATAGTCATTTATAGGTCAAGAGTGACCATCTCTTTTAACTGTACAAATATTCCTTGATGCTGTTAAACAACTGAGGCTTTGCTTAGGCAAGCTAGCACAGGGCTTTCTGGCCCAAAGCTGGGACTGGCACCAAATGAGTTCCACTGACACTCTGTAGGGTATGATGAACAGTCTGGAGCTCCCAGGCAACCTTTCACAGCATGATTTGGAATCCACTTGAAATTACATATGACTGGTGGAGCTTCGTCTGGAGAGGTCTAATCAGAATTTGTCTTCCATTCAATAGAAATAAAATGAGCCCATTCATTGTGTCATAATTCATCTCTATACTACAGAATGAACAATAATCTAAAATCAATGGCAACCCACTGGAGTTGGCTTCCACGCTTGAGAGATTGCTCCCCAGAATGTTTTATACATTACTTTCATCACTCTGTGTTTTCTATTTCAGGGCCTACTCTTCCCAAGACTCATGTTAAAACAGCCTCTCTTGGGTTGGCTGGAAAGGCAAGATCTCCTTTGCTTCCTGTATCTGTGCCAACGGCCCCTGAAGTATCCGAGGAGAGCCACAAAGCAACAGAGGATCCAGCCAATGTAAGGCTATCCTTGAAATTTATGCTGTGTCAGGTGAAGCAGTGACCATTGCTATACTTAAAAAGCAATCTTAAAAATCAAGCAGATTTAAAGAATGTGTGACTTTACATACATACATACACATATAGGTGTATATATGTATTTCCTTGCAAAGGGTTGACATACCTTGGCATTTGACTACATATATGATGATTCTTTAAAACAACAACAACAAAATAGTAACAAAAACTATACTCTGAAAACTTTTCTGAAGTTATCAGACACGTCACTTCTAAAATCACACAGTAGCCTAGAAATATAGAATTGAGAAGAAAAAAATACAAAATGAAAAAATGAAGGAAGGCGTTTAAGAAGAAAAAAGAGAAGGAACTGACATAATTAGAAAATAAGAGGAGAAAATTTAGTTATTTGAGAGAAAACGTTTGCTAACTAGAGGAAGAAGCTAAAATGTGATCAAATTAGAAAACTCAGAAAGAAAATAAATGGAGACCAAAAAAATCTAAATTTTGAGAGAGCAAAAGAGAGTTTAAGAGTTCTCCCAAAAAATGCATTATAAGAGAGATTTGAAAAGATGTTGCCTAGGGGCGCCTGGGTGGCTCAGTTGGTTAAGCGACTGCCTTCGGCTCGGGTCATGATCCCGGAGTCCCGGGATCGAGTCCCGCATCGGGCTCCCGGCTCAGCGGGGAGCCTGCTTCTCCCTCTGACCTTCTCCCCTCTCATGCTGTTTCTCTCTCTCTCTCTCTCTCTCTCAAATAAATAAATAAAATCTTTAAAAAAAAAAAAAAAAGAAAAGATGTTGCCTAAAGGCAGAGATTTACAAAACTCTGGAGTGTTTCTGAATATATTTCAAGAGAAAGCATTTAAAACGAGAACAAAGAACTATCATATCATATATCTTGAAAAGTCACAGTGGAAGGGGAGAAAAAAAAGATGAGAAAAACAAGTTAGAATCATCTCATTTGAATGAACAATAAATTTTTTTCTTGACTTTATCGTTTTTGGTACTGCAAACCATAAGGTATTTTAACAACATGGAAACCAAGGAATCTGGCTATGTGTATGTGTGTGAATGTTTGGCAGAAGTCTGTTATATGATTAATATACATTTCGTATACTTTAAAAAGGTTCAAATTTATAGTGCAATATTCGTTTAGTCTCGGGGCTGTTGGGTGTACCTCAAGTCAGGTCAAATTCCTAAATTTATGTAATATATCTCATCTCATAAGGAATTATGTCAGGTGGCCCATATTTGTATTTAAGGTTGATTCTAAAGAGTGACAGTCAAAGCTATACTATTAAAAGGAGTAAGATTATACATTAAAGGATACACAGAAACAGGGCAAATAAACTAGATCAACACTACCCTACAGAAGTATAATGTGAACTACATGTGTAATTTTAAATTTCCTAGAAGCCACATTAAAAGATGTGAAAATAAATGAGATTAATTTTAATACTGTCTTTCATCTAACCCAGTATTTCCAAAATGTTATCATTTCAACATGCTATAAATACAAAAAATTTGTCAAAAAGATATTTTACATTTTTGTACCAAGTGTTCAGAATCTGGTGTGTATTTTATATATATATATATATACATATATATATATATATATATACACACACACACATTTCAATTCAGACTAGTCACATTTCAGAAATCCAGTTGTTACATATTGCTAGTGGTTGCTGCGTTGGACAATGATAGCTAGACAATTCAAAAAAAAGAAAACCCAAACAACAGTTAAGAAATGAGTTACCAACTGATCACCTCCCTTCAACCTCTCCCTTTATATGTAGACCAGTCTTTTGAGCAAAAATGGCTACTTTTCAATCCCCATTAAGCTCTGGAGATTATGTGGTATATGACCGTTCATTGGTATGCTGAGATTTCTATAAGAAGGTACCATTTTCAACATATTTAATATCATGCATTCCGAGCTGTTTCCTTAGTGGCTAGAGTGAGTTAGTGCCCATCCCCCATATAATCTCTAGTGGTGTGCTCTTGGGATCAACGGTATTTATTTGGCAGGATTAGATACCCATTCTGACCGGGTAGTGAGTAACACTTTCCATCCTACACAGAGCTAGAAATCATGACTCAGGCCTCATTGTTTCAATAACTTAATCAAATTGATAGCCAAGAATAATCAAGCAGGACAGGTCTGTATTATTCAAAATAAAGGGTATATTGGAAAAGAAAAGAAAAACTAACATTTATTGAGTAGGTAATACCCACCAAGACTGACTTATTGAATCCTCCCAGCTACCCAGTGAGGCAAGCTTGTTATTCCCATTCGACACATAAGAGGACAGACTCAAAATGAGCAAGTATATGAAAGACCTGGGATTCCAATCAGTACCACAGCCTTATTCCCTCCACTGGCTAGCCATCAAAATTACTTGGGAAGCTTTAAAGAGAGAGAGAGAGATTGTAACCATCTTATACTTAACTGCATCAGAATTCCTGAGGCCAGCAATGGGGGGTATCTGTTCTGTGATAACTAATGATCCAGTATTACTAATGACCTGATTCCCGTGACCCCCAGTAAGAGTTCTAGAGAGTACGTTCACTAAGACTTCCAAGACTTCCTCAGTTCAAGCTCTTCATTGTACCCACCAATCAAATGTGCTAGAATATTGCCTATACAACTGTGCATACAGGCAACTCTGGTTTGGGGTGAGAATTTTGTTTTCACATACAAACTAAAGTCATAATCCTCAGACCTTTCACTGGCCAAGGCAAAGTCCATCAAACTCCCACACAAAAATGTACATACGTCTCCTTTTCGTGGCGCCTTGGAGACGGTAGGCTGCTTCAGGATGAAGCTGAACATCTCTTTCCCAGCTACTGGCTGCCAGAAACTCATTGAAGTGGACGATGAACGCAAACTTCGTACCTTTTATGAGAAGCATTTGGCCACAGAAGTTGCTGCTGATGCTCTGGGTGAAGAATGGAAGGGTTATGTGGTCCGAATCAGTGGTGGCAATGACAAACAAGGCTTCCCCATGAAGCAGGGTGTCTAGACCCATGGCCGTGTCCGCCTGCTGCTGAGTAAGGGGCATTCCTGCTATAGACCAAGGCAGACTGGAGAGAGAAAGCGCAAATCTGTTCGGGTTGCATTGTGGATGCCAATCTCAGTGTTCTCAACTTGGTCATTGTAAAAAAGGGGAGAAGGATATTCCTGGACTCACTGATACTACTGTGCCTCGTCGCCTGGGGCCCAAAAGAGCCAGCAGAATCCGCAAACTTTTCAATCTCTCTAAAGAAGATGATGTCCGCCAGTATGTTGTGAGAAAGCCCCTAAACAAAGAAGGGAAGAAACCTAGAACCAAAGCGCCTAAGATTCAGCGTCTTGTTAGTCCACGTGTCCTCCAGCACAAACGGCAGCGTATTGCTTTGAAGAAGCAGCGCACTAAGAAAAATAAGGAAGAGGCTGCAGAATATGCTAAACTTTTGGCCAAGAGAATGAAGGAGGCCAAAGAAAAACGCCAGGAACAGATTGCCAAGAGACGGAGGCTGTCATCTCTGAGAGCTTCTACCTCTGAGTCCAGTCAAAAATGAGATTTTCTATGAGTGACAAATAAATACGATCAGACATCAAAAAAAATGTACATTCGTTGTGTTATGAAAAAAAGGAACATGGTGATAGACATTCTGTTCAGATCCTGCTGGGTGACCTACGGAAAGGAAAAAGGAGTAACATACTGAATATGCACCATGTGCTGGTCACTGTGATAGTCACTAAACAGGCCACAAGGTGCTCAGAATAGCCTATGAAATAGATGACCATCATCATTTTATAGCTGAGAAAAGCTTTGGATCAGAGAGGCTTACTAACTTATCCGAGACCATACAGTTCTATGGTGGTAGAACTTGATGTGAAATGAGATTTTTTTTTTTTACTCTAAAGCTTTTTCCTCAACACAGGGATGAAGTTAGTGAAATACGATGCAGTCATTCCTCTCATCACTACCTCTTTTATTACCAGCATCTTCATTCAGTGATTATATTCTGAGCACAGCCTCTTGCTATGGCTGTGGGACACTGTGTCATGCTTGGTAATACAAAGTAAACCAACTAGATGTGGCCACTGCCTTCATAAAAGGAGGTATCGATATTCGCCTGTCCTTTAAAAAAAAAAGATTTTATTTATTTATTTGACAGTGAGAGAGAGAGCGAGAGCAGGAACACAAGCCGGGGGAGTGGGAGAGGGAGAAGCAGGCTTCCCGCAGAGCAGGGAGCCCGACACGGGGCTTGATCCCAGGACTCTGGGATCATGAACCAAGCCAAAAGCAGACACTTAACGACTGAGCCACCTAGGTGCCCCTTCACCTGTCCTAACTCTTTGTTCTCGTTCTTTCTGCAGGTGTATGAACAGGATGATTTGAGTGAGCAGATGGCAAGCTTGGAAGGGCTAATGAAGCAACTTAATGCAATCACAGGCTCGGCCTTTTAACACGTCTCACCCAATTGATGAGGTGTATTTTTCTGGGAACTTTGCAGCATACCAATTACCCATAAGCAGCACACCTGTGTCCAAGAACTCTTAACCAGTGTACAGATCAACCATCAGGACCACTCAGTTATGGAAGATCCTGAAGCATTTCAGAGGGAAAAAGCGTCCTTTCTTTCATAGGTATCAGGAAATTCACAATGGTGACCATGGGGTCCCTAAGCAAAAGCAAAGATCCATCCTCACTGCAATGTCTAGGCTGAAGCTGCTAGCCGAGTCCTGGGTCTTTGCCACTGCAGTGACCACACTGTCCTAACTAAGGCTTGGGTTTTCCTTCACTGAGGCCTGTCATTTCCTTTCTGTGTAGGTCTAGTCTTACAAAATGCAAGTGCATTATCCAAGCCTGTACCATGCCATGGCAAATCAGTGCAAGCTCATTATTTTGTTTTCAACTTCAAAGTACAGAGCACCCACGGAAATTCTCTTGCCACATAGCACCAAAGGATTGGATGTTTTCTTGACAGCACAAAGAGTAAATAAGTAAACAAAAGGCAGCGAATGCTTATGTTTTATAACTCAGACATTCATCTTGCACAGGTGGTGGATATTAGCCAGTGGCGGTAAAATTCACCCATTTCAGCAAATATTTGTAAATCCACCCTTGGTTAATATTTATGTCTGGAGAACAGGGAAGTAAAAATCTGCAACTAGGGGCATCCCACCAGCAGCAGTCTGTTTCCTGAAAGAGGATACAATATGCAGTCTTCTCAAACACACGGTAATTACGTGCTTAAGCTTGTTATAGGACACTTTTCAATTGGGGTGGCTTTTGTGCCATATCACACTGTGATGACATTTCAAAGCTTCACCACGGCCATCTTCCTCAGAAGTCGGGCCGGAAGAGCTCCCCCCCTTCATCCTGTCCCTCCCTGAGTTCTCCTTGGCAGCCAGCCTTGGGCGAGGTGGCCAGCTCCACACATCGCTTGGCCTCCTGACCAACATCCCTGTCACCCTCTGTGGAAATGGCAGACTCCCTGAGAACAGGCCCTGAGGAAGGGAGAGAAAATGGAAGGCAGTTTCAAACGGTACCTGTTCTTGAGTGATGTCACTTCTGCCAACAGGCTCCTCACTGACTTAGAGGGGGCAGTATTGGTCAGTGGCGACCACCAGGCCCTGTTGTCAAGGGAACCTTCTACACTATGCCTGCCGAGTCAGAGAGGAGCAGAGGGCAAGGTGTCACTTGATACTTCTGACACATTATAAATCCAGTGGATACTTTTCAGAGCTGCGTCTTCATTGAACTAGAATTTTAAACTTCTAACACCATGTTTATCTACAGCTTGGAACTAGGTGAAATTAAGAACATTTTGTGTGCACCCTTTAGTTTCTGAATTTTCAGCCGCATTTGGAGTTAATCCCTGTTTATGCAGCTGAATTGCCAAAAGGGAGCTAGTTTGCATATTTATCAGTTAGGCAACTTGAAAACCCAATAAGAGAGTTTCAGCTGAATTATTCCTTTCAGCTCTCTTTGATTTCAAGCTTGAGTAGGTCATAATTTTAAAAGAGCATGGAAGGGATAGGATCTTTACAACCTAATAGCTCCTTTTATTAGGTGGGTAATTATATATGAATCCCTGAATAAAATATTTTGAGCAAAATGGCACTGTAACAGAAGTAATAATTCAGATTATTTTTTTACAGTTTTATGTCGGGAAGGAAATCTGATGTCAAAGAGAGGGCTTGTTCAAATGGTTCATTAGAATGTCCGGTCCATTTGTGAAATTGTTCCTTCAACAAGAGTGCTTATTCAATTTACTAAGATTTTCTTGAAGTTCTTCTGAAGAGCTATGTGACGTTATTCTATGGGGCAGATTACTCTTCTTCAAAATCTGGACACTTAGGTAGACAACCCTCCACTGACCGGGAACAAGGCATTTCCTAACATAATGTTGAATCTTGCAGAAATAATTCATTACTTCAGAAAATGTTCATTAGGCTAGCTTTACCCTCTCGAGGTCCTAGAATGCCTCCCCCATTTCTAATACTAATAAACAAGTAACATTCTCTGATGGTATTTGTTATCCAAGGAATGTCATCCTGAGTGCTCTGTTTGGAATGGGCTACAAATCTCAAATTTCAGATTGAATATAGACTGTATCTGGACAATCAAGAGAATAGCATTCTTCACAAAATTCTCGATGACTCTAGTCAAAGTCCCTGACCTAAATAAATAAAAATTTTTAAAACTACATGAAAATATGCATTATTTGTTTTCAGCAAAAGGTACATTTCTGGTGCATGCTCTTGAAGCTTCCTTCCTAAAGAAATACAATGGTTTATTTTCGTAACTGGTATTGCTAATAAGTCTTGCTTCATGCTTTGAAGATATAGTAGAATCCATTTAAATTCTCTCAAGAGACTCTCCTGTGCTTTACCCCATGATTTTAATATGCAATGACTTTGCCACAACTTTTGTAAAGCTCTGCTCCCCACTCTCTCAAAGAGTTTACATATATATATAATTGCCTGCTCAAATTTTCAGGTAACTTTTTAATTTCCCAGTCTTCTGATCTCTTGACAAGAAGCAATCTGTGAAGACTGCAAGATAGCCTCTATTTTGTTCCTAGCTCCGAGCCTAGGTCATAACATACAGAGCTCTTTAAGCTCATAAATCTCTCTGACTCCCATAGGGCGATGCTTGACAGCCAGCCAGCAGCTCTGCCACCAGGACTCATTTCCCCCTGCAAAAGAAGAAAATAAAACTCGGCAGGGCATGCTCAGGACTCCCCTGCATTGGGCTGAACTGTCAGGCAAGAGCATCCTCTTGAAAAAGTCTGGTATTTTTCTTTTGTATTTCATACCGATGAGAAAGCTATTTGTCTTTCCTCTAGAAATTTCTGCATTTGTTAAACTCACAAAAATGTAGAGAGCTCAAAATGCATAAGGCAGGAGGATGCTCTAACCAAAAGTTAAATATTTCTTAGTGATTCATATTCAGTAAAAAAAAAAAAAAAAAGAGTCCTAGCTACCTCTTTGTAGAATATGCTATAAGCTTCTAGAATATGTAAACAATGGAATTTCACCTTTGGGTATTATAAAATGCACACTCAATTGAACAATCTGGAAAAAAAAAAAAAGGAGAAACAAATCAAGCCAGGGATTTAAGAGGTGAATTTATTAAAGTTTCCCATAAGGGATTAGATACAACATTTTTCTCTTCAAAATAAGGGCTGCTTGAAATGACGTGTGTGTTTGGTCCTCTGCCTCAGTAGGAGCTACAAAAGGAGAGTGGTCCAGCATTAGTGTGTCATTCCCATCAATATTTGGAAATTTTAAAGTTTGGCACTCACAGCTTTTCCAATAAAGAATCCCTAAGTAGAGGTTTTTCTGGAAATCTTTCATAGTCCGTGTTTGAAGATGGTTGCTCATTCTTATCCACCCTTTTGATACATCTGGCTGTTGACTTTGTTTAGAGAAACATCTAAAGTCTTCTCCAATTTAACAGAGGGTTTCATACGGCAGCTGGACTGTCACTCCAACAACAACAACCAAAAAATGTCCCCTCTAAAGAAATCACCTTATCATGTCAGATGAAATTGTATCCCAGACTCAGACTTCTTATGGTCTTAGAATTTCCATTTCTAGTCCATAAGAGAGAGACAAATAGAAAAAATTTCCTAGTTGTAGGTGTGTTTAGAGAAAACAAAATCCTCTGAATTTTCAAAGAGATGTGGAACAAGGTTGCTTTCCCTCCCTCAATCAACTAGTTGACTTCATACAATCACAGACCGTCCTGAAGGCCAGAGTAGCCTCCCTTGCCTGTTCATAACCATATATACAATACAGAGCCCGTAACCTAGTAGAGCTTCAGAAGCAGGCATACTCACATCTGCCATCTCTCTCTTCTTAAAATTACTTTCAAAGCAACATTTTACTCATGGTGTCTATTTCTCTAGTGACTTTCAGAAATCACTTAAATATTGCACAGAAGAGCTTTCCACGGGGTTCCCGTTTTAAATTACATTACTTAGAAAATCGTAGCTATTTTGTGCAATTTTCCATTCCAATGAAAAATACACATTCCCATGCCTCAGTGTACCTTGCTATCCAAATACCTGCTTCCAAAAGGTAATGAAAAGAAATGCCTGAGTATTTCCTGGTCAGTGAGGTTGCATAAGAGACCAATACCATGCCCATATCAGCAAATAGATATCACTTCTGGGCTTTGCATTGCCGCCGCTGGGTAACGTTCACTTGGCGACTTCTGGCCGCACTCTCTGAAGGACTTCTTCTGCTCTCAGTAGAGAGCCTTTGTACAGTGTCATCCTATAATTTTTTTGTTGGCTGGAAAGCAACAGCAAAACTCTGCAAGATGTCACAGATGCATGGGCCAAGGGATCTCACTGTGTGCTGAAAGTGTTATTTTCAGATGCAAGAAAGGAAAGTTGGTGAGGAGGAGAAAGGCTGTTTTTTATTATTGTAGGGTAAACCTGACAATTCTGACCTTGGTGAATTGTCAGCTTGTTTGGGGGATGGGTGGGTGGGTCTGGGGTGTACTTTTTATAAGTAATATTTAATTTATTATTTAGAGTGGCTTCTTTTTGGATAATTTATGATAAAAAGGGAGATCTGGTTGGGAATCTAGATATGGCTATTAAAGCTGCAGTGTTCCATATCTCAGAGGGACCACTTTGGAAATGAATTGTCCATTTGCTGAGTATGAGGATGCATCCAGGCAAAGCCTCCGCTAAAGCTTCATCATTACCACCTTCTCCCTTTCCAGGGTCATTCAGACAAGATAACACCAAATCTAAAATAGTCTGCTAGCATTTTGCAGATCAATGCTACTCATTCTCTCAAAGGGCTTTGCAATTCAAATTGTTAGTGTGCTAGTGGTAGGTTTATTTGGTAGAAATGGGTATACTACAGCTTTAACTAGCCTTAGTGGAAAAAAGAAATTTTTTGTTGCTACAAAACACCTTTAAAAAAAAGAAAAAGGTATT